ATCCGCGAACAGTWTCGTCGTGGGGATTACCACCTTGTGTCCTTGCTGGTCTGGTGGTGTAATTAGCCTTTCTATTGAYGGGTCCTTTCTCAAAAAAGAGGCTATTGCCTCCATTATGAAGAGAAAGATAGGAGCAGCTAGGGGGTCTCCTTGCCTAACCGACCTGGACATAGGGTAGGTCGAGGATAAGTGACCGTTTATCTGTACTTGTCCTTGTGCGTTGTTGTATAGGACCCTGATCCACTTCCTAAAATTYGGCCCTACCCCCATCWTTTCCATGCACAACTGTAAGAAAGGCCAACTAACCTGATCATAAGCCTTTTCAAAGTCGAAAAAGAGGATGGCGGCGTTAATGCGCTTGTCCCTTATGTATCGAACCGACTCAGTTAGGCACATGACATTGTCCAAGATAAACCTCCCCGATATGAATCCTGTTTGATCCAGATGGAAGCAGCCCGCTGTAATTTTAGATAAGCGATTGGCTAGTGCCTTGGCTACGATTTTATGAGTGAGAGTCAACAAAGTTATTGGTCTGTAATTTCTTATGTCTGTTGGGCTCCCTTTTTTGTAAAGCAGCGTGACTACCCCTGTAGAAGGCTCCCTTCCTATACCCTCTTCCTGCCATGCTTGTTCGAGAAAAGACACGTATTCCTCGCCCAAAATTGGCCAAAATTCAAGCCAAAATTCTCTAGTGAGGCCGTCTTTTCCAGGGGTTTTGTTYGGGGTCATTGTTTTAAGTGCGTCCCATAACTCCTCCTGTGTTAAGGGTTCGTCCAGCATGGCCGCGTGTTCTCGTGAGATTGTGCTCTGAAGGTAATTCAGAAAGTTGGATTTTGCCTCCTCGACACTAGTCTTAGAAAACTGGTCTTCCACTGATATGTATAATTTACTATAGAAGTCGAACGCCACCTTTAACAACCCTTCCTTGTTGGAAATAAGCCCCCCTTCCCCTTCCAGGCTCTCTATGAGATTGTTCCTGCCCCTAGTTCGGATTTTTTGGAAGAAGAATTTGGTCATTCTCTCCCCTTCCTCCCAYTCCTTRACTCTAGCTCTCATTCTTAAACCTCTCATTTTYCRGCGTTGCCATTCCTGCATCTCCCCTCTAGCCGTGTCTAATACTSTTTCGTACATTTCGTCCCCTGGCTGAAGAATAGTATTGCGCTCTGCTAACTCTATTGCTCGCGTCAGTTCTTCCTCTCTTTCCTTCCTCCTTTTCGCAAGCCTCCTGGCCGCTAAGGCTGAAGCCTTGGACARCGATGTTAGCAGCTCTGAGAAAGAGWGTGAGTCTRGGTTRTGTTCTTGACACGCTTGTAAGATTGCCTGTCTCATATCMTGAGTTTTCAGGAGGGAGTTATTGACTTTGTAAAATCCTTTACCCCTGCTGATTAGTTTGTCTGATGACAAAGTCAATAGGATAGGTTTGTGGTCCAGACCCACTTCGTACGGTAGGGAACCTATGGTTACAGAATGCAACATACCTGTTATGCCTGGGGATGTTAGGAAATAGTCTATCCTAGAAGCAGACACATGTTGGCTACGGTTTCTCTTTCGGTAGGTAAATCGTCTTTCGTCCGGGAAGAGTAGCCTATAGGGGTCTAACAGTTCTACATTTGTCATTAACCCATGAATTGGTAGCGACTCTTCTGTCCTACCCTCCTCTTCTGATCTAAAGTCCCCTGAAATTCTGTCTAGGCTGGGATCTAAAGTGACATTCCAGTCACCTGCTAAGATCAGGTGTCTGTTCCCATCCAGAAGTTCCTTGAGCCTTTCGATCATACCCAATCTTTGTTGATAACCATTTGGACAATAAGCCGAAAGAAGCGTGTATAGGGTTCCTCAAGCAGCTTGAAGTCAATCTTGACCCATCTTCCCTCCTCCTCATCCACCCTCGTATCTGTGATGGTAATCTTGTCTGTCGCATGCACTCTTTTGTTCTGTAGTATAACCACTCCCGTAGAGTGGTTGTTTGCTGCTGGGGCCCACCATGCTGCTTTAATTCTTTGCAGTTTCTTCTCTATCTGRTGCCTCGTTTTTTGGTGACCTACAGAATCTTGAAGGTGTGTTTCCTGCAAACACAAGAAATCCGGTGGAGACAAAGAGAACCATTCAGAGTAGTTTACTATATTTTGCCACTTGTCTCGATTCTCTAAAATCCCAACTAGCCCATTCACATTCCATGATGTTATTTTGAGTTCCGGAGGACCCTTCCCCCTATCAATCCTTCTACTCCACTTTCTTGGTCTTTCTGACTCTCCTCTCTCCATTGGGTCTCCTCGTTAACATGTGGACCTCTCCTCTATTCTTCCGTTTTCAAGTATCAAGTGCAGTGAGTTCTAAGACCGTTGCTACCTCACTTACCTTCTTCTCGAAGAATTCTGGCTTCCAAACGAAAGCCTCCATCTTCACAGCGACCGTTGTGAGCCTCGCCACCCATTCCGCGCCAAATCGCCCTCCCAGCAGCCCGTAAGGGATGGTCTCCACCACCTGCCACGGCATCCAGATCAGGCCCTCCCTGAGTTCGGAACCTGGCCCCATTTGAAGAAKCAACGGGCCAAAGTCAGTTGTTGTCTCCTCGTCACCTTCCTCCCCTATTGTCATTGGCTCAGCTTCTCCCTCCCTCAATAACAACGCTCGAGATGGCATCTCTCCCCCTATTAATCTCTGAAGGTCCGGGCCTGAGCATTGTTCGATCGGGGCCGTTAGCAACTGAAGGGATTGGTTGATTGCCACCTCCCAGTCCGAGTGTCTTGCATTCCATCTGCAAGGTAAGACCGCTCTCCTCCTTGTCCCATTCTTGGTTTTCAGGCGGGTCGCAGCTTCTATCTCCTTCCACCGGCCTTTTGCTATCTTTTGCACGTTCACTGTGTCGTCCTCCAACTCTCTGTTCTCATCCTTGAGCAGGTTTACCTGCACCACCAAGATTGCTGCTTGCCTTCTCAAGTCCTGAACCTCCTCCTCTTCACTCTCTCTCTTCTCCTGATCCTCCTCCATTGCTGCCCCGTCCATAGAATCGTTCACCCCATTGGCTGAACTGCCTTGCTCCTCTGCCGATTGTGCCTTTCTTTTCTTGCTGTCTCCCTTCCTTTCCTTGTTGTAATAACTCTTTGGCCATTGAAATAACCTCCCATACTCCTCCTGCTGTATGCAAATCTCATTCCTTATTGTGCAGCTCTTTCTTGCATATTGGGATGCATAAAACTCATTGATTTCCCCCTCCCTCCTTAGCAGTTCGAACCTGTTTTCTGATGTGATGTCTTCACCTGCTTGTGTGGCTAGTTGTAGGTTCCTCAAATGTTTGTGGTGGGCCAACCTGATTTCACACTCGATCGTCCTGCCCCATTCCAACTGTTCCACCTCCTTAATCCACCGGTCCCTTGTCCAATCCTCCACATCTGTGTCCTCCTGGCCCTCCTCCTCCTCTTCTTCTTCTTCCCCCGTTGAGGATTCGCTGTCTTCTTTTTCTGAACTCTCCCTCTGGTCCTCTTCTGCCTGCTAGATCTGTTGTACTGTCATGTTTTCGACATTTTGCATGCCCTTCCTTCTCGCCCTTTCTCTTACCTCCTCTTCATCATCGAGTGAAACATGATCCTGGGCACCCTGAGATCCGCATTTGCCTTCTTCRTACTGTGAGGATCCTTCTGGGTGGYMATTGTCAGTCAAGTCCTCCTCTCTCTCTCCTACTGTGTCTGTCCCTTCTTCACCACTTCCCCTTGAGGTCCCCTCCATAGAGCTTGAGTCTGAATCCCTCACCTTCCCTAGGCTCTCTGCTGATTCGCCCTCTTCCTTCTCCGTAGCGTCCTCACTTCCAGATTGGGTCTTTTGTCTTCTTTTTCCCTGCTGCAAATCACTATCTTGAGAGTTTCCTAGTTCCTGTGTTAGACTTTGGTCTTCTGGTTTATGTCGCTCCTATAATCTCTCCTTCTCTCCATGATTGCTGAGCCCTTAAGCTCCTTCTCTTGATTGATTTTCAACCCTCCTCCATTTAAATGCCAGATTATTTCCCTGAATGGTTGCAACCGCTCCTTGACCCAGTACGTTGGTATTGAATTTCTTCTTTATTTCCTCTTCCTGTTCCGGATTTTGCAGTATTTGGGTCTTGACCCTCTTCCATTGCGCACGTAAGTCTGTTTCAAGTAATGACCAGAATATCTCCCTTGCCTCCTGTATATGCATTTTGCTTCCGTCAATAGTAATTTGACATCTCCTCTTCCAAATAGTCCATAGGCTGTATTGACGTATCAGCTGAAACATAAGCTTCTCGGACGATTTCCACTGCCTCGGGATGTGGGTTCCTAACAAGAGAGAAGTTTTAGTGTCTAACCATGGGGCCTTTGAAATCTGAACCCATATACTCTTGGCCTCTTCCCAAATTATGACTGCTCCCGTACATTCCAACAGGCAATGCTGCATTGATTCTGTTATGCTACCCTGACACACTCTGCACTCCGCATTCACTGGGTCCCTTCTTGACCGACTCATTTTCTCGTATAACCATTCATTGACGGGTAGAGCTAAATGGGCTATTAGCCACTGCATGCTTCTGACTTTTCCCAAGCGTATTGCATTAATCGCCGACCAAGGGAACGTAGACAGTTGTTCCTGTGGAATCCCTACCCTCTTTTCCCACCTCTTCCGTAGTTGAGGCGTAAGAGAAAAGGATCTTCTTCTCAACCTATAACCTATCCGAGTGGTGTAATGCAGAATATTAATTCTTCTTTCTGTTCCCACGGTGCCACTTCTGATTTTCCATGCCCATTCCGCCGGGTCGACTTCCAGATCTTCCAATGGAGTATTTGGACAGAAGACTGTGAATTCGTCCATTTTAACTACTCTCACCTTACGCAATTGACTTTTGAGAATGGTTATAAACACTTTGGAATTCTTGTCAAGTAAGGACGTGGTGGTCCCTTGATTCATGATAGTATATTTGTCTGCCTGAAGCCATTCTAGCCTTGCAATCTCCTGATCCCATATCCTGAAGACTTCTATTGGATCAATGTCATCTTGCCATGTGGCCCAGTCTCCTAGGCCCCACTATGATCCTTTTCTCAAAAGATCCTCCCACCTTTGTGGAATGGCTCTTAGGACTATTTCTAAATTTTTTGACAGACTGTGACAACCCTTTAATTGCCCCCTCAGCTGTTTAGCTGTTTTCCACCTATTTTCATAAGCATCCCACAGGTGTTTAATCTGCCAGACCCCATGCTCCAGCCACTTGCACCATTTTGTGTCTTTATATGAGAGTGTCAGTGGTTTTCCCTGCCCATCCCTGATACTTGAGTTACAAAATAATGACTATCTCAAAACTTCCTCTCTTGTATGAGGCTCACTGACCCTTGCAGGGAAAATTTCCTTCCATATTTTCATTAGTTGAGGCCAATATGACGCATTCGTTACTTCTTCCTCGTTACCCCCTCTGTCATAAACTTTTGTAACTCCTTTCGCCCAATTGCTACACATGACCCAGAAGTGTCCCGACATATTCCATGGGGTTCTATACTTAGCCAATTTCCTAGTTTGATAGAGCGCTAAGGACGTCCAAGGTAACTTATGCTGGGTGATTAACTTAATTACCCATTTCGTCTGGAGTGCTTTAAGTTGGATGATGAACAAATTATGTCTAGTGACATGCTTCCATGCCACCTTGGAAATGAAGTGTACGGACATTGCGTTAGATGTCCATAAGTAGGCCGCTGCCCTTCTTCTCAGTAATGTTAATGTGATATTTGGCGAAGTCCAAATCGACCCTGCATACAAGATCATAGAGAAGATAGATGCATTTAATATGAGTGTCCTCCCAAATATCGAAGTATAGACCTTCGACCAAGCCCCCAACTTACCCAAGATGTTAGCCATTAGATCTGCTGCCTTGGAGTGATGTGTGCCTGCCTCTGTGATTTTCACACCTAGATATCTAATTGGGGTTTGTGGGGACATCCATTGTAGCCCCTCTGGACATTCCAACGGGAGTCGCCCTTCTTGCCCTTGTTCACCCATCAACCAAGCCTCCGTTTTTTGCCAGTTTATTTTCATTTCTGACGCTAATTGAAAGGCTTTCATTGCCCTAGTTAATGCTTGAAATGATGAGTCTGATGCCCTAATGAGCACTGTTAGATCATCAGCAAACATTACAATTGCGAGAAGGTGAACGGAGTGTCCCTGTTGATCTTGTTCTACCACTAATCTTTGAATTGAAGGATCCTTTCGCAAGAAGGAAGCGACTGTCTCCATTATGAACATGAAGATTGGCGCCGCCAACGGGTCACCTTGCCTAACTGATCTCGGCATTCTATAGGTTGTTGACAAATGACCATTAACTTGCACTTGGCCCTGTGCATTGTTATATAAAACCCTTATCCATTTCCTAAAATTCGGACCTACTCCCATCTTTTTCATGCATTGCTGCAGAAAGGGTCAGCTGACCTGGTCATAAGCCTTCTCAAAGTCGAATAACATAATTGCAACATTAATACGTTTATCTCTTATATATCTTACTGTCTCAGTCAGCGTCATGACGTTGTCTAAAATGAACCTTCCCGGTATAAATCCTGTCTGGTCCAAATGAAAACAACTCGCTGTGAGGGGAGTGAGTCTGTTTACTAATGCTTTGGCTATTATCTTATGCGTCAGTGTTAGTAACTTAATCGGCCTATAATTTCTAATGTCCGAAGGGATTCCTTTCTTATATAATAGCGTCTCGACTCCTGTTGCCGGATCCTGTCCTAATCCTTCATCTTGCCATGCTTGCTCTAGATAGGATAGATATTCTACCCCTAGTATTGGCCAAAATTCCAACCAAAATTCCTTTGTCAAACTGTCCCTTCCCGAAGTCTTGTTTGGAGCCATAGACTTCAATGCTTCCCATAATTCCTCAAGTGTCAAGGGTGCATCTAGCATTACTGCTTATTGGGAGATCGTAGGTTGCAGATAATTTAAAAACTTTGACCGTGCCTCTTTAACCTGATGTTGTGGGTGATCAGCATCCCTAGTTGTATAAAGATTACTATAAAAGTTGTGGGCTATTTGGATCATCTCTTCTGTGACCGATGTAAGACCTAACGGACCCTCCAGTTGATCTATCTGAGCGTTTCTTCCCCTAGACTTGATTTTCTGAAAGAAGAACTTCGTCATTCTCTCTCCCTCCTCCCATTCCTTAACCGTAACTCTCATTTGTAAACCTCTCAGTCTCCAACGTTCCCAATCGGCCAGTTCCTGCCACTTCCAGAGCCTTTTCATACATTTCTTGACCAGGACAACTTATCATGTTGTGTTCCGCAAGCTTCATTGCTTGCTGGAGCCCCCACTCCCTTTCCTTTCTTCTAGCCGCTAACCTTCTGGCTACTCCCTCTGAGGCTTTAGAAAGTGCATTTAGCAAGTCGGAAAACTTTTGGGTATCTGGATTGTGTGACTGACATGTCTGTAGCACCGCCTGTCTCATTTCCGGAGTACGTAGTAGTGAGTTATCTAATTTATAAAAACTCTTTCCTCTAATGGCCTGTTTATTTATTATAAGATTCAGAAAAATGAGTTTGTGGTCCAATCCAACCGCAAAGGATAAATCTCCTAAGCCTACTGGTTGTATCATACCTATTATGGTAGGAGATGTTAGAAAGTAGTCTATTCTAGACGCAGACACGTGCTGACTACGGTTCCTTTTTAAATAAGTGAACCTTATTTCCTCTGGATAATGCAATCTATAAGGATCCACTAGGTCGCTGTTTGCCATCAACCTGTGTACTGGTAGTGCTTCCTCCATCACTCCCTCCTCCCAGTGCCTGCCTGCTGCCGACATTCTATCTAAGCGAGGGTCCAGGGCCGCATTCCAGTCTCCCGCTATTATCAAATGCCTATCTGCTTCCAATTGTTCCTGTATGATTTTCACAAACGCTGACCTCAGTTGTAACCCATTTGGACAATAAACGCCTAGTAACGTATACGGCTCATCGTGTAGCTCAAAATTAATCTTAACCCATCTTCCCTCTAATTCATCCACTGTCGTACTCATTACCCTTATTTTTTCTACCGCTCGCGATCTACTATTTTGTAGAATAACTACTCCTGCTGAGTGTGATCTGTCCGCAGGTACCCACCAAGCCTCTTTTATTCTCTGGAGTTTTTGGATAATTTTTCTCTGGATTTGCTGATGGTCCCGAGTTTCTGAGAGGTGTGTTTCTAGAAAGCAGGTGAAGTCCTGCGGCGATGATCCAAACCAATCTATATATTTTGTCACATTATGCCACTTATCCTGATTTTTCATTATTCCCACCATTCCATTTACATTCCACGATATAATACTTAGTTCCGGAAGAGTATGGCCTGCCTGATCTTTCCTTGTCTTCTTTAATAGTCTCCAAGCTCTCCCTTCCACCATAACCTATTCCTTATTGTCTTAGGTCTATAATTCAAGTGGTTATAAACTTTAAGATCCCATTCCCCCTATATCGATGACTATTGAAAACGGAGTTACCCTCTTGTCAAGGTACTCCGGCTTCCATGCAAAAGCATCAACATAAAATTTTCCTAGAATTAAATAATCATTCTAGAGTAAAATTACATTTTAAATTCCAAATTTTCATTCCGTCTTAAAAAATGTAATTCCAATTTTAAAATTTTCCGTCTTACTTGAAAACTTTCCTTCCAAGAATGGGGTATCCCTTCCTATTTGAACTGTATGCTAAAGATGGAATGAAAGTCTGGATGATTTCATGAAATATTTTAATTGGACTGTCATTCTAAGTAAGGATTTCCAGTCATAAATAGGTTAATCCAATCTAAATTAGACGATATTTGTTGTAATAGAATGAAAGTCTAATTAAAATATTTCATAAACTCGTCCAGACTTGTATTCCATCTTGAACAAATAGATGTAGTTGGAAGGAAAAACTCATATTTAGACGGGATCTTATCAAATTAAATTGAAAGTTTTAGAGTTGGACAAACATTTGAATAATAATTTATAAATATGAAGGATTTTTTTTTATGGAATGTTTTTTCAACTTTCATTTCTCATGGGAATTTTTCTGTTGATCCACTTCCGCCGCACAGCGTGCCACCCATTCTGGCGATTTCATTCCCCCTAACAAACCGTAAAGAATAGTTTCAACCACCTGCCATGACATTCAGACCAGACCCTTCGTCAAGATAATATTATCCCTTACATGCATAAGTAATGGTGTAAAGTCCTCCCCCTCACCTCCTTCACTTTCTTTTGTCACTTCTTTCCTCTTGTCTCCAAGAACGTAGGCTCGATCTGGTAATCCTTCCCCTATGATGTTCTTCAAATATTCCCCTGTACATGCATTTTCCGGGGCTACAATCAAATGGAGAGAGCGATGAATTGCCACCTCCCAATCGGAATGCTTTTTATTCCACCGACAAGGAAGAATTACCCTTCCCTTAGCTCAATTCTTTGCCCCCAATTTTGCCGCTGCATCAATGTCTTTGAAGTGACCTTTTGGTATTTTCAACAAATTTATAGTATCCTCCTCCAACTCCCTGTTCTCATCCCTTAACGCATTCACCTGAGCTTCCAGAATTGTTGCCTGCCTTTGCAGATCCTCCTTCTCTTTTTGCTCATCTCCCTCTTGTTGCTGGTTTGCTTCCTTCGTAGTCTGTTCCGCTCTGCTTTCCTGTTCCTCCTCCGCCTGTGTTTTCCGCTTCCTCTTACCATCCTTGCTGGCTTTGCTCTGATATGTGTTGGGCCATTGGAAACTCTTAGCGTATTCATCATGCTGGATATCAACAGAAAAATTCCCACAAGAAATGAAAGTTGAAAAAACATTCCATAAAAAAAAAATCCTTCATATTTATAAATTCTCATTCCAATGTTCGTCAAATTCTAAAATTTCCAATTTAATTTGATAAGTTCCCGTCTAAATATGAGCTTTCCCTTCCAACTACATCTATTTGTTCAAGATGGAATGAAAGTCTGGACGAGTTTATGAAATGCTTTAATTAAATTTTCATTTTACTACAACATATATCTTCTAATTTAGATTGAATTAACATATTTAGGACTGAAAATCCTTACTTAGAATGATAGTCTAATTAAAATGTTTCATGAACTCATCCAGACTTTCAATCCATCTCTAGCATGCAGTTCAAATAAGAAGGGATACCCCATTCTTGGAATGAAAATTTTCAAGTAAGACGAAAAATTTTAAAATTGGAATGATATTTTTTAAGATGGAATGAAAATTTAAAATTTAGAACGTAATTTTACTCTAGAATGATTATTTAATTCTAGAAAATTTTTCTGTTGATGGATGTCATTTTTAACCGTACGCGCTTTCCTTGCATACTGTGCCGCATAAAATTTATTTATCTCCCCCTCCCTTTTCAGCAACTCGAAACGATTCTCCGAAGTAATATCCTCACTTACTTGCGTTGCATGCTTCAGGTTTCTGAGATGTTTGTGGTGCGCCAATCTGATTTCGCGTTCTACTGTACGTCCCCATTGTAGTTGTTCCACCTCCTGCTTCCACTGCTCTAGTGTGATGATCTCCTCCTCCATATTGTCCTCTTCTGATGAGCTCTCATTATCCCAATCTTCAGAGCAGTCCCGCTGATCCTCCTCCGCTTGTCTAATTTCTTCCTCAGTCATACTTTCCGCATTCCTCATATGCATCCTTCTATCTTCCGCTTCGTCTGTGGAAACTCCCTTTGCTCCTTCCTCTTCAGACACCCTTTCCGACTCCCCTTTTGCTGCACTTTCCCCGTACGAATCACTGGAGTCCATTTCTTGTCCGCTACCCGACGGTGGTGTTTGCTGGGTACTGCCCCTTTTTCCTTGCCGTGAATCCTCCTTTATACCCGTTGTTTGACTCCCCTCCTTCCGTTTATCCTCCCTACTGTTATGAAATCTTTTGCTCCGGTGTGTGTCCTGTTCATGCTGATCTGAATTTTTTCCATCTTCTGATAATTCCCTCCTTTTCAATGACTGACGAGATTCTCTTTCAAGGCTCTGAGTCCCCTCCTCCTCCCCACATTCCATGTTGTCACTCTGTTCTTCCTTCGTGTTCTGATTACTGAACTCTTGCTCTTGTTCCTGTTTCCTCATCAGATTCTGCTGTTGCTGCCTAGCTGCCAAGTTTTCGAGGAAAGCTTGTTCTGCATTTTTCCCAATCGCGTGTAGCTCTTCCATGACGAGTAGCCTTTGTTGATCATCCTGGATCATTGATTCTTCTATCATTGGTTTGTTCAGAAACCCCGTCTCCTTCTCCTCCATCCTTCTTGCCCCTGTCTGCCTCCACCTGCTATCATACGGTGGGTATATGTCTCGTTTAACTGTAGGTTCTCTTTTTAGAACTCACACCCACCTTGGAGATTTCAAATTGTCATCAAAGATCCACCCTCTGTATTGAGATGAATTGATATACCATACTCCTGACTTAGAGACGCATTCCTCCAGCATTGACTAACGCAGTGGTGCTTCCTTACTATCCCCCCCCCCCCCCTGTGGGCAAAAAGGACCCAGATGACCTCTTCCCCTACACTTGAAATANCTGTTCCACCTCCTTAATCCACCGGTCCCTTGTCCAATCCTCCACATCTGTGTCCTCCTGGCCCTCCTCCTCCTCTTCTTCTTCTTCCCCCGTTGAGGATTCGCTGTCTTCTTTTTCTGAACTCTCCCTCTGGTCCTCTTCTGCCTGCAGAATCTGTTGTACTGTCATGTTTTCGACATTTTGCATGCCCTTCCTTCTCGCCCTTTCTCTTACCTCCTCTTCATCATCGAGTGAAACATGATCCTGGGCACCCTGAGATCCGCATTTGCCTTCTTCGTACTGTGAGGATCCTTCTGGGTGGTAATTGTCAGTCAAGTCCTCCTCTCTCTCTCCTACTGTGTCTGTCCCTTCTTCACCACTTCCCCTTGAGGTCCCCTCCATAGAGCTTGAGTCTGAATCCCTCACCTTCCCTAGGCTCTCTGCTGATTCGCCCTCTTCCTTCTCCGTAGCGTCCTCACTTCCAGATTGGGTCTTTTGTCTTCTTTTTCCCTGCTGCAAATCACTATCTTGAGAGTTTCCTAGTTCCTGTGTTAGACTTTGGTCTTCTGGTTTATGTCGCTCCTATAATCTCTCCTTCTCTCCATGATTGCTGAGCCCTTAAGCTCCTTCTCTTGATTGATTTTCAACCCTCCTCCATTTAAATGCCAGATTATTTCCCTGAATGGTTGCAACCGCTCCTTGACCCAGTACGTTGGTATTGAATTTCTTCTTTATTTCCTCTTCCTGTTCCGGATTTTGCAGTATTTGGGTCTTGACCCTCTTCCATTGCGCACGTAAGTCTGTTTCAAGTAATGACCAGAATATCTCCCTTGCCTCCTGTATATGCATTTTGCTTCCGTCAATAGTAATTTGACATCTCCTCTTCCAAATAGTCCATAGGCTGTATTGACGTATCAGCTGAAACATAAGCTTCTCGGACGATTTCCACTGCCTCGGGATGTGGGTTCCTAACAAGAGAGAAGTTTTAGTGTCTAACCATGGGGCCTTTGAAATCTGAACCCATATACTCTTGGCCTCTTCCCAAATTATGACTGCTCCCGTACATTCCAACAGGCAATGCTGCATTGATTCTGTTATGCTACCCTGACACACTCTGCACTCCGCATTCACTGGGTCCCTTCTTGACCGACTCATTTTCTCGTATAACCATTCATTGACGGGTAGAGCTAAATGGGCTATTAGCCACTGCATGCTTCTGACTTTTCCCAAGCGTATTGCATTAATCGCCGACCAAGGGAACGTAGACAGTTGTTCCTGTGGAATCCCTACCCTCTTTTCCCACCTCTTCCGTAGTTGAGGCGTAAGAGAAAAGGATCTTCTTCTCAACCTATAACCTATCCGAGTGGTGTAATGCAGAATATTAATTCTTCTTTCTGTTCCCACGGTGCCACTTCTGATTTTCCATGCCCATTCCGCCGGGTCGACTTCCAGATCTTCCAATGGAGTATTTGGACAGAAGACTGTGAATTCGTCCATTTTAACTACTCTCACCTTACGCAATTGACTTTTGAGAATGGTTATAAACACTTTGGAATTCTTGTCAAGTAAGGACGTGGTGGTCCCTTGATTCATGATAGTATATTTGTCTGCCTGAAGCCATTCTAGCCTTGCAATCTCCTGATCCCATATCCTGAAGACTTCTATTGGATCAATGTCATCTTGCCATGTGGCCCAGTCTCCTAGGCCCCACTATGATCCTTTTCTCAAAAGATCCTCCCACCTTTGTGGAATGGCTCTTAGGACTATTTCTAAATTTTTTGACAGACTGTGACAACCCTTTAATTGCCCCCTCAGCTGTTTAGCTGTTTTCCACCTATTTTCATAAGCATCCCACAGGTGTTTAATCTGCCAGACCCCATGCTCCAGCCACTTGCACCATTTTGTGTCTTTATATGAGAGTGTCAGTGGTTTTCCCTGCCCATCCCTGATACTTGAGTTACAAAATAATGACTATCTCAAAACTTCCTCTCTTGTATGAGGCTCACTGACCCTTGCAGGGAAAATTTCCTTCCATATTTTCATTAGTTGAGGCCAATATGACGCATTCGTTACTTCTTCCTCGTTACCCCCTCTGTCATAAACTTTTGTAACTCCTTTCGCCCAATTGCTACACATGACCCAGAAGTGTCCCGACATATTCCATGGGGTTCTATACTTAGCCAATTTCCTAGTTTGATAGAGCGCTAAGGACGTCCAAGGTAACTTATGCTGGGTGATTAACTTAATTACCCATTTCGTCTGGAGTGCTTTAAGTTGGATGATGAACAAATTATGTCTAGTGACATGCTTCCATGCCACCTTGGAAATGAAGTGTACGGACATTGCGTTAGATGTCCATAAGTAGGCCGCTGCCCTTCTTCTCAGTAATGTTAATGTGATATTTGGCGAAGTCCAAATCGACCCTGCATACAAGATCATAGAGAAGATAGATGCATTTAATATGAGTGTCCTCCCAAATATCGAAGTATAGACCTTCGACCAAGCCCCCAACTTACCCAAGATGTTAGCCATTAGATCTGCTGCCTTGGAGTGATGTGTGCCTGCCTCTGTGATTTTCACACCTAGATATCTAATTGGGGTTTGTGGGGACATCCATTGTAGCCCCTCTGGACATTCCAACGGGAGTCGCCCTTCTTGCCCTTGTTCACCCATCAACCAAGCCTCCGTTTTTTGCCAGTTTATTTTCATTTCTGACGCTAATTGAAAGGCTTTCATTGCCCTAGTTAATGCTTGAAATGATGAGTCTGATGCCCTAATGAGCACTGTTAGATCATCAGCAAACATTACAATTGCGAGAAGGTGAACGGAGTGTCCCTGTTGATCTTGTTCTACCACTAATCTTTGAATTGAAGGATCCTTTCGCAAGAAGGAAGCGACTGTCTCCATTATGAACATGAAGATTGGCGCCGCCAACGGGTCACCTTGCCTAACTGATCTCGGCATTCTATAGGTTGTTGACAAATGACCATTAACTTGCACTTGGCCCTGTGCATTGTTATATAAAACCCTTATCCATTTCCTAAAATTCGGACCTACTCCCATCTTTTTCATGCATTGCTGCAGAAAGGGTCAGCTGACCTGGTCATAAGCCTTCTCAAAGTCGAATAACATAATTGCAACATTAATACGTTTATCTCTTATATATCTTACTGTCTCAGTCAGCGTCATGACGTTGTCTAAAATGAACCTTCCCGGTATAAATCCTGTCTGGTCCAAATGAAAACAACTCGCTGTGAGGGGAGTGAGTCTGTTTACTAATGCTTTGGCTATTATCTTATGCGTCAGTGTTAGTAACTTAATCGGCCTATAATTTCTAATGTCCGAAGGGATTCCTTTCTTATATAATAGCGTCTCGACTCCTGTTGCCGGATCCTGTCCTAATCCTTCATCTTGCCATGCTTGCTCTAGATAGGATAGATATTCTACCCCTAGTATTGGCCAAAATTCCAACCAAAATTCCTTTGTCAAACTGTCCCTTCCCGAAGTCTTGTTTGGAGCCATAGACTTCAATGCTTCCCATAATTCCTCAAGTGTCAAGGGTGCATCTAGCATTACTGCTTATTGGGAGATCGTAGGTTGCAGATAATTTAAAAACTTTGACCGTGCCTCTTTAACCTGATGTTGTGGGTGATCAGCATCCCTAGTTGTATAAAGATTACTATAAAAGTTGTGGGCTATTTGGATCATCTCTTCTGTGACCGATGTAAGACCTAACGGACCCTCCAGTTGATCTATCTGAGCGTTTCTTCCCCTAGACTTGATTTTCTGAAAGAAGAACTTCGTCATTCTCTCTCCCTCCTCCCATTCCTTAACCGTAACTCTCATTTGTAAACCTCTCAGTCTCCAACGTTCCCAATCGGCCAGTTCCTGCCACTTCCAGAGCCTTTTCATACATTTCTTGACCAGGACAACTTATCATGTTGTGTTCCGCAAGCTTCATTGCTTGCTGGAGCCCCCACTCCCTTTCCTTTCTTCTAGCCGCTAACCTTCTGGCTACTCCCTCTGAGGCTTTAGAAAGTGCATTTAGCAAGTCGGAAAACTTTTGGGTATCTGGATTGTGTGACTGACATGTCTGTAGCACCGCCTGTCTCATTTCCGGAGTACGTAGTAGTGAGTTATCTAATTTATAAAAACTCTTTCCTCTAATGGCCTGTTTATTTATTATAAGATTCAGAAAAATGAGTTTGTGGTCCAATCCAACCGCAAAGGATAAATCTCCTAAGCCTACTGGTTGTATCATACCTATTATGGTAGGAGATGTTAGAAAGTAGTCTATTCTAGACGCAGACACGTGCTGACTACGGTTCCTTTTTAAATAAGTGAACCTTATTTCCTCTGGATAATGCAATCTATAAGGATCCACTAGGTCGCTGTTTGCCATCAACCTGTGTACTGGTAGTGCTTCCTCCATCACTCCCTCCTCCCAGTGCCTGCCTGCTGCCGACATTCTATCTAAGCGAGGGTCCAGGGCCGCATTCCAGTCTCCCGCTATTATCAAATGCCTATCTGCTTCCAATTGTTCCTGTATGATTTTCACAAACGCTGACCTCAGTTGTAACCCATTTGGACAATAAACGCCTAGTAACGTATACGGCTCATCGTGTAGCTCAAAATTAATCTTAACCCATCTTCCCTCTAATTCATCCACTGTCGTACTCATTACCCTTATTTTTTCTACCGCTCGCGATCTACTATTTTGTAGAATAACTACTCCTGCTGAGTGTGATCTGTCCGCAGGTACCCACCAAGCCTCTTTTATTCTCTGGAGTTTTTGGATAATTTTTCTCTGGATTTGCTGATGGTCCCGAGTTTCTGAGAGGTGTGTTTCTAGAAAGCAGGTGAAGTCCTGCGGCGATGATCCAAACCAATCTATATATTTTGTCACATTATGCCACTTATCCTGATTTTTCATTATTCCCACCATTCCATTTACATTCCACGATATAATACTTAGTTCCGGAAGAGTATGGCCTGCCTGATCTTTCCTTGTCTTCTTTAATAGTCTCCAAGCTCTCCCTTCCACCATAACCTATTCCTTATTGTCTTAGGTCTATAATTCAAGTGGTTATAAACTTTAAGATCCCATTCCCCCTATATCGATGACTATTGAAAACGGAGTTACCCTCTTGTCAAGGTACTCCGGCTTCCATGCAAAAGCATCAACATAAAATTTTCCTAGAATTAAATAATCATTCTAGAGTAAAATTACATTTTAAATTCCAAATTTTCATTCCGTCTTAAAAAATGTAATTCCAATTTTAAAATTTTCCGTCTTACTTGAAAACTTTCCTTCCAAGAATGGGGTATCCCTTCCTATTTGAACTGTATGCTAAAGATGGAATGAAAGTCTGGATGATTTCATGAAATATTTTAATTGGACTGTCATTCTAAGTAAGGATTTCCAGTCATAAATAGGTTAATCCAATCTAAATTAGACGATATTTGTTGTAATAGAATGAAAGTCTAATTAAAATATTTCATAAACTCGTCCAGACTTGTATTCCATCTTGAACAAATAGATGTAGTTGGAAGGAAAAACTCATATTTAGACGGGATCTTATCAAATTAAATTGAAAGTTTTAGAGTTGGACAAACATTTGAATAATAATTTATAAATATGAAGGATTTTTTTTTATGGAATGTTTTTTCAACTTTCATTTCTCATGGGAATTTTTCTGTTGATCCACTTCCGCCGCACAGCGTGCCACCCATTCTGGCGATTTCATTCCCCCTAACAAACCGTAAAGAATAGTTTCAACCACCTGCCATGACATTCAGACCAGACCCTTCGTCAAGATAATATTATCCCTTACATGCATAAGTAATGGTGTAAAGTCCTCCCCCTCACCTCCTTCACTTTCTTTTGTCACTTCTTTCCTCTTGTCTCCAAGAACGTAGGCTCGATCTGGTAATCCTTCCCCTATGATGTTCTTCAAATATTCCCCTGTACATGCATTTTCCGGGGCTACAATCAAATGGAGAGAGCGATGAATTGCCACCTCCCAATCGGAATGCTTTTTATTCCACCGACAAGGAAGAATTACCCTTCCCTTAGCTCAATTCTTTGCCCCCAATTTTGCCGCTGCATCAATGTCTTTGAAGTGACCTTTTGGTATTTTCAACAAATTTATAGTATCCTCCTCCAACTCCCTGTTCTCATCCCTTAACGCATTCACCTGAGCTTCCAGAATTGTTGCCTGCCTTTGCAGATCCTCCTTCTCTTTTTGCTCATCTCCCTCTTGTTGCTGGTTTGCTTCCTTCGTAGTCTGTTCCGCTCTGCTTTCCTGTTCCTCCTCCGCCTGTGTTTTCCGCTTCCTCTTACCATCCTTGCTGGCTTTGCTCTGATATGTGTTGGGCCATTGGAAACTCTTAGCGTATTCATCATGCTGGATATCAACAGAAAAATTCCCACAAGAAATGAAAGTTGAAAAAACATTCCATAAAAAAAAAATCCTTCATATTTATAAATTCTCATTCCAATGTTCGTCAAATTCTAAAATTTCCAATTTAATTTGATAAGTTCCCGTCTAAATATGAGCTTTCCCTTCCAACTACATCTATTTGTTCAAGATGGAATGAAAGTCTGGACGAGTTTATGAAATGCTTTAATTAAATTTTCATTTTACTACAACATATATCTTCTAATTTAGATTGAATTAACATATTTAGGACTGAAAATCCTTACTTAGAATGATAGTCTAATTAAAATGTTTCATGAACTCATCCAGACTTTCAATCCATCTCTAGCATGCAGTTCAAATAAGAAGGGATACCCCATTCTTGGAATGAAAATTTTCAAGTAAGACGAAAAATTTTAAAATTGGAATGATATTTTTTAAGATGGAATGAAAATTTAAAATTTAGAACGTAATTTTACTCTAGAATGATTATTTAATTCTAGAAAATTTTTCTGTTGATGGATGTCATTTTTAACCGTACGCGCTTTCCTTGCATACTGTGCCGCATAAAATTTATTTATCTCCCCCTCCCTTTTCAGCAACTCGAAACGATTCTCCGAAGTAATATCCTCACTTACTTGCGTTGCATGCTTCAGGTTTCTGAGATGTTTGTGGTGCGCCAATCTGATTTCGCGTTCTACTGTACGTCCCCATTGTAGTTGTTCCACCTCCTGCTTCCACTGCTCTAGTGTGATGATCTCCTCCTCCATATTGTCCTCTTCTGATGAGCTCTCATTATCCCAATCTTCAGAGCAGTCCCGCTGATCCTCCTCCGCTTGTCTAATTTCTTCCTCAGTCATACTTTCCGCATTCCTCATATGCATCCTTCTATCTTCCGCTTCGTCTGTGGAAACTCCCTTTGCTCCTTCCTCTTCAGACACCCTTTCCGACTCCCCTTTTGCTGCACTTTCCCCGTACGAATCACTGGAGTCCATTTCTTGTCCGCTACCCGACGGTGGTGTTTGCTGGGTACTGCCCCTTTTTCCTTGCCGTGAATCCTCCTTTATACCCGTTGTTTGACTCCCCTCCTTCCGTTTATCCTCCCTACTGTTATGAAATCTTTTGCTCCGGTGTGTGTCCTGTTCATGCTGATCTGAATTTTTTCCATCTTCTGATAATTCCCTCCTTTTCAATGACTGACGAGATTCTCTTTCAAGGCTCTGAGTCCCCTCCTCCTCCCCACATTCCATGTTGTCACTCTGTTCTTCCTTCGTGTTCTGATTACTGAACTCTTGCTCTTGTTCCTGTTTCCTCATCAGATTCTGCTGTTGCTGCCTAGCTGCCAAGTTTTCGAGGAAAGCTTGTTCTGCATTTTTCCCAATCGCGTGTAGCTCTTCCATGACGAGTAGCCTTTGTTGATCATCCTGGATCATTGATTCTTCTATCATTGGTTTGTTCAGAAACCCCGTCTCCTTCTCCTCCATCCTTCTTGCCCCTGTCTGCCTCCACCTGCTATCATACGGTGGGTATATGTCTCGTTTAACTGTAGGTTCTCTTTTTAGAACTCACACCCACCTTGGAGATTTCAAATTGTCATCAAAGATCCACCCTCTGTATTGAGATGAATTGATATACCATACTCCTGACTTAGAGACGCATTCCTCCAGCATTGACTAACGCAGTGGTGCTTCCTTACTATCCCCCCCCCCCCCCTGTGGGCAAAAAGGACCCAGATGACCTCTTCCCCTACACTTGAAATAGTAGGGGTTGGTCTTTGTTGAGACGAATATAGTGATTCTCTGACCTCTTTTCCTGAAAATCCATTGGTCTGGGAATTTCAGGGGAGCACCTGACTTGACCTCAAGACATGCCACCCGTGAATCATGATTTGGGGCTAGGAAGTTTGGATTAGCTGGAAGCCAATCAATAATTGGGTTGTTGGGAAATTCCTCAGCAAGCCTCTTTTCTATGAAACTGTGCATTCCTTCCAACAAATTATCAAGTTGTACCTAGAAGTGATTCCGCATCATCGATTGTTTGTGCCTTGATGCTTCCGCTTGTGGAGGACGCGGTGGTTTCCAAGATTGAATTGTCACCACCGCCCCCTTACATATCAGGGAACCAATAGAAAGTAGATATTGGGCATACGTATGATCTACACACACAATCATCACCGAGAATCTTCCCCTCTTATGATAGGACACCTCCGGTTCCCTACCTGGTATACTTTCCATTGCTCGGAGTCTATCCATCACCCATCTGCGCTTCTCATTCATCGAGAGTTCTCTGCTTCTTCCTGAAAAATTGAAGATGACTGCGTGCTTTTCGTATAACTCATTAAGTGACTGGAGATTCTCCTCTGGATATTCCCAAACATCCACTTCTTCTTCCTTACCTCCCTCTCCCTTTAACACTTCCTTGGCAACTTTGATTTCTGTTGTGATTTTTGTCTTTTCCAACAAGAATTCCATTGCTCTTTGCGCCAACGAGAGCACCTTGACTGTGCCCATATCAGCCTTTGTTCCTGTCTGTGACGTAGACTGAGATGCAGAAGTCGAATCCTCCTTTACCTGACCCTGATTAAAAGCCATTTTTTCTTTTTTGTTCATGGTTTTCCTGGCTGCCTCTGCATATGATGACGTCATATCTTCCCTTCTTAGTTCTTGGCTCTTGCCTTCCCTCCCTCTCCACGGCCTGATCTCACTTCCTTCCCCTACCTTTCGTTTAACGTGTTTTCGCTCCCTGTTCCCTCTTTCTCTTTTTCCCTCTTATCTTTTGCCAACCCTTCCTTCTCCACATTACCCTGAAATCCTCCGACCTTACTCACTCTCACTTCCCCTCTTTTCCTTTCTTGTAACTCACTTCCTCCTCACTCCTCACTTCCCTTTCCTCTCCCCTCCTTTATCATGCCTCGCTCCCTGCTTACCCCTACTCTTCTCACCTCTTATCTCTTGCTAGCCTTCCGTCCTCCACTTTACCCAGAAACTTCCAGATCCTACTTGCTTTCCCTTCCCTCTTTCCTTCTCCTCTTTCCTTCTCTGTAACTCCCTCCCTTCTCTCGCCTCCCACCCTCTTTCCTTTCCTCTCTTACTCCTCCCCCACCCCGTTTGCCTTCCCTCCCTCTCCCGGAACTTGATCTCACTTCCTTCCCCTCTCTTCCTTTATCATTTCCGGCTCCCTGCTCAACCCTTCTCTTCTTATTTCTTATCTCTTGCCCTCCCCCCCACCTCAACGTTACTCGGAATCTCTCAGATCTTATTTGCTCTCCCCTCCTGCTTTTCCTTCTCTTACTCCCTCCTCCTGCCTCCACCTCTCTTTCGTTTCCTCTCCTCTTCCTACTCCCCCCGTTTCTTCTTACCTCTCACCTCCTGTCTCCCTTCCTTCCTCTACTTACCTCCCACCTCCTGCCTTCCTTCCTTCCTCTACGTCCCCTGTGCCTCTCCCACCCCCTATTCGCTCTCCTTTTCTCTGGTTACATTTCTTATGCGTTTCTCTTTCCAATTTCCGGTTGCAAGCCCAATGTTATTCTCATTGAAGAGGCCGACCACGTACTCAACAAGGAAAATCAAGTTACCTTTATTCACATGGAGTGATGTGGCTCGAAGGCTACTACGAATCGATGATAACACAATCCTACTCGCTCTCCCCTCCCACTTTTCCTTCTCTTACTCTCTCCTCCCACCTCCAACCCTCTTTCCTTTCCTGTCCTCTCGCTACTCCCCCCGTTTCCTCTCACCTCCTGCCTACGGCAAACGTGTCATATTAAGCGGGACACAAACTTTTACACTCACACACACACACACACACACACACACACACACACACACACACACACACACACACACACACACACACACAAACACACAAACACACACACACCACACACACAAACTTTCATTCACTGCTATAGTCACTCACCCTTTTTGACACTCAGCATCACTATCTGTCACAGTCATCATCACTCACTACAACTTTGACAGGAGTACACATTTTGATCAAAGTCGCTATCATCGTCGTTTAACGCCATAGTCACTCTCTCTTTTCGTCACTCAGCATCACTCTCTGTCACAGTCAACGTCAATCACTATGTCTCTGACAGGAGTACATGTTTTTATCAATCTCTCTCTCTCCCTCTCTCTCTCTCTCTTTCTCTCTCTCTCTCTCTCTCTCTCTCTCTCTCTCTCTCTCTCTCTCTCTCTCTCTCTCTCTC